CCACGCCACCGAGAGCTTCTATGACATTCATTCATCGTACTTCGTGTCATTTTGTAAGTGAACGAGGACTGCTTCCTCTCCGCTGCACTTGCTCCACTTTTCCCTCACAGTGTAGACGCTTTCCCGCTGCCTTCCCCAGCTACCGCAGGCTGAGGCGTGTACGATGCTTCGGGAAGATCCAGTGTTGATTAGCACTATACGCTCGCAGCCGTTGACTGAGAGGCACCGGAGCGGCAGGAATCCGTCTACACACGGCCGGGAGAGGAGGCTGGCGCTGATGCTTCCTCTCTTTCTTTGTTTCCCGGACACTTAGCAGCGAGATGTCTATGCCGCCCCCACATGTAACCGGCTCGTCGGCTCCTCCTCCCCGCGCACTGTCTAGCGAGGTGGCCAGGGCGCCTGTAGTTGAAACAAATGGTTTGCTCCCTCCGCCTCGAACAACCGCCCGATTCACGTTGTTCACGGCATCTCTGCGCCGCCGCAGCCACCGCCGAACCGTCCGCCGCCAGGGCGATGGCTTGTGCTGGAATCTGTGATAGCTCCAGTGACTCCACTGGGGAATCCAACCTCAGCGTGTGCCACATCTCCTCAGGCAAACCCACTTCAAGGGCACATTCGAGAAATGATCTATTCAATGTGTTTGTCCAGCCGTGACAGGCGACACAGATGGCCCCAAAACACATCCACTGACTTATTTGGCCTGAGTCTGCGAGCTACCAGCTGCTCGCACGCCGTCAAAACATCTGCTGCAAACGCCGTTATCAACGTTATTTTTATTTTCTTCTTATTCTTCTTGTAGTCTTAATCCAGCTGCTGATACACGCCGAAAGCACCTCCCGTCAGTCACAAGGTAATTACGCATTACTGGCTCTCAACTCCTTTTATACGACAACAGGCCCCAACTTGTCTATCCAATCGCCGACGCCCTGTGGAGCTCCATCAAACTCCTACACTGCAGTAGGCACAAACCCATAACACCACCTGCAGCTTCCACGTCACCGCTTCTCATGCCATTGTAAAAGTCGAAATAGATTGCTGTGAATTATCAATCTCAATAGGCAGAACGAATCTCTCATGCAAATCAACATAAAATAATAAATGCCTCCTCCACGCCAGACCTAAACCACCCCACCGACTAAAACCCCGAACAATTTCTCCTTGCTGAGCTGGGACGTCGCCCTGCCCGTCACCAATCCCCGAATGTTTTGTGTTCATTCCTCCTCGTCCTGACCAATCAACATATTACATGACATAACTCAACAAAATTGTTCGGATCACGTCGTCATTGCAACATGTCTGGTACATGCTCATTTGCACGTCATTTATACAGCCACCTTGTTTGCACGTTTAACCTACTGCTAGATGAGACGTGTCTGATTCGATTAGCACTACCAGTTTTCTCGAAACCCTTCTGAATATATCGCCATTTGTATTTGAAGTAACCGCTCCTGCGGAGAAATCCCACTGGATTTCCTCCTCACCACCATAAAATTAATGCATCTCATTGCCTTGCTATTTCCAGCGTATGCATACTTAAACACGCGCCCGGGAGGCCGGCTAGATACCTTTCGCTCGGATGGGGGGTCAATATGACCCCCCAAGATCTCGGGAACTAAGAAGGCTGGAGACACCAAATTTTCAGGGTGTGTTGACCTGTACGTGAACTCACCTAGGTCAAAGTTTGAGGTCACTAGGTTTTGAATTTCGGGTCAAATAACGTCAAACATGGTCAAACAAGGTCAAATTTCAGGTTGGTCTCCAAAGAGCCCCCAGAACCTAGATAACTGTTTCTAATCAAAATGTCATAACCTCATTTAAGGTAAGTGACCTTGCTTGAACTTTTTAAGGCCATGGTGACTAAAATCATACAAGACTGCCCTGAGTTTTGCATTTGAATAAGGGACAAAGATTACGCTTGGCAGTATGTTCTTTAAAAAAAATCGATCTGGTTCCACTTAGGTCAATGACCTATTATGATCTCTAAGAAATCAACTGAAGATGTATGATGCGGTTCCTGCTATCAATGAATTCAAAATGAGCACCGGAAAATACCCCATACAGCAAGCCCTAGAGCAATAAAACAGGTTGGTTTTGACCTTGGTCTGATCTTTATACCTGACCTTACGTCAACTTAATTTGTTCATTCAATGCTTGCGTTGCCTAATAAAGCATCTCAAAGATTGTATGGCTTCGTCAAACACTCCGTTATTGTATCAGATTGAACAATTACCTAGAAATTGACCTTGCTGAAACCATGGCCTGACTTTGACCTGCCATAGGTCAGTGACCTTATCAGGTACATCTAAATTGCTTACATCAAACGATCCGCGATTCAATTGTGAACAGCTATGCACAATGTGGCGCAGCTACACCGCGCCGTTCGGAAACCAGTCCGGAAAAATCTTCGGGGGATCGATTGGACCCCACACGAGCGCGTGTTAATGCCTGCAATGCACTTAGTTGTCAAAATATTTGTGTAATAAAGGCTGCGAAACCTTAAAACACGCTAGTTAGATAACAACATTTAAACATGACGACATTATCGCGCAAATTTTGGCTTTGATTTCTCCCCCACGGCGTTTGGCGCAGTGGCCCTTTTCGAAACGCACTTGTTTCTAGCACACTCCATTTCTATTTAAGTTATTCATACCAACAAGGATGCCACTTTTAAGCTGGCATGTCCGTAAAGTGCGGGTTAGAACAGCTCAAAAGTAGTACATCTAGTCCGTAACAGCTTACAACGGCCCATAGTGGATTTTGCCGTTGTCATGACGACTGTCGTCATGACGATAACTGCAGTTGACGCGTACTCGGGCTGTCCTATAGGGCTACCAATAAAAAATAAGTGCAGTGCTGTGAAAAACCTTGACAGCGCACTTTCGACTCGAAGATGATTCACATTAACATCCATCATATTTTGGTGCTGCAGCAGTGGCACTACCCCATGTGTGTATTAGACGTAAATGGTCGTGAAGTTTCACAGCGTATTTTTAAAATATGCCCCAAAGTGGGACACTCCCTTTAAAGGCACGCTGCTTCGGGCGCTAGATCCTCCCTTGGCATCCGTCAAGCGACCCAGCCAGATGTCGCTTCTGTAGGATAACAGGACCAAATACATTAGCACTCGGCTGGCCTCTGAGGAGGTATTCTGGACGGTTACCCGCCTGGTCAACTTAGGTCGTGAAGCCAATGCCCCCTCACTCGGATGGTCCGTGAAGTATAAAATGAATCTACATATATATAAATACCAGCCACCCAGGGGTTTTCTCACTTGGTGCTTGGCCGGTGCCGCGTTACAAATAGATTTGTGAGCTGGTCTGTTTGCTACATTTTTCGAGTTAGATGTTCCATAACGTATTATGCAAAGAGGTTAAAGAATATCACAATTGAATATTGCAGAGACCGCAAGGGAAATTGGAGCCCACAAAATTATTCAACTGTCCCTACCACGCTGCTAATCCGCAAGATAAATAGTAGATGCTATATTCTAAGCTCTTTGGAGCATTTTCGAGCTGTGCCTTTGCAGTATTTGTCGATATGCATCAGGTAACGAAATGAAATTAAGTCTGGTGACAAGTACGCAGTCACCTCTATACCCGGACCAATGCTTTTCGAGATCCGATGGCTGTGTTCGGACTTATTCAACTTTGCACACCTTACATTGGACATACGTTAGCAACGCACGCTTAAGCAAAAGGCTTTGTCACACACAACCATACCCCACACGCAACAAAGACGCAGCAAGCGTTATGTGATGCTCCAACAGAAGTCCATGACTTGGCCGACTCTATGCCCGGCACGATCTGCGTTGTCATCTATGGCATACGTAATATGTGTTCTCGGGAGCCTGGCAGGAACGGAAATTGGCTAACGTTTGTGACGGCCCACGAGTCCTGTAAATGACGTCATACGCATTCCTCAGCATACAGATTGGTCGGCTCGGGCCTTGCCGCGCCCCGGACAGCTTTAAATGTTGGAAGTCGGAGGGTGATCAAAAACGTGTGGATTCTAGGGATGGAGGATTGCAGACTTGCCCATAGCAATTTCCAGCTGCCCAAATTGTCAGTGACCCCATTTTACACCGAGTATATAACTATGCTCGTGTTTGCTGCACGCTGGCATCATGACCACTATCTCGTCTGGTAGTCATCTATCGTGGTTGTGTCAACAAGCATGCATCAAGAAACGTCCCAAAAAGCAAGCGGAAGGAAGTGTTTATGGACGTAATAGCCGAGTGATTAACATATTCTGATCCTTTTTGTTGGCCCGCGTGCGAATCTCGGTTGCGGCCCAGGAAACCTCTATGATAATGGAATGATGTCGTGCCTTCCTTATAAATGGGCAAAGCAGTGACTTAATGTGCCTCACCACCTGCATGCCCTTTTGTCTGTACCAGTCTGCATTGTACATGGGCAGTAAGCTCAAGTCGGCCTGTAGCGACACTGGCAGTATAACTTTGGCAGACAGCCGTTCGCATGAGCTCAACGCCTTCCATCAGCTATGTGATTTGACCTTGTTTGAAGCAACTACCGCCGTTGTTTGGGTGGTTCCTCTCTTGCTGGGGGCAATTTGATCGATTACTGCCTCCAGAGGCCGTATCCAAACCCGTGAAATCGGAAACACGTGAGCGCGTCTTGTTAGCCAGCTAACAGCCGCCACTTTTCTGCCGCCGGCGCTTTTTTCCCGCGGCTGCACACCGATGATTGGTGGAAGCCGCAGTTCAGATCACGCCACGTGACCAAATTGCCGAAGACGCCATAACTGGGAAAGCACCAAAACGATCCATATGCATCACGAGAAATAACACGCTGAGTGACAGACTGGGTAGGGAACGGAAACGCGAGCCATTCAAGGACCGCACAGCTGGGTACATCTAAAAGCAGACCGGCTTCACGAATCCTCGTCGTTTGACACACGTCGCTAAGGCTGAGAATAAGGCTTAGTTTTGTATTGCCAAAGGTCAAGGCAATGCTATGCTGTAATTTGTATTGCAAACATACCTCACAAAAGATCCTGCGCGCTATTGACGGAGCAAAACTCCCGATGATGATTCGGACATCTCGATCCTGCAACAGAGTTCAAACAAATGACAATGGCGACATTGATACAACAGTGACAAATGACACACCAGTAAAAGTGACACTGGCATATGCTAGGCAATACTGTGACAACGGTACGAAATGACACCGACAACACAGTGATGACCGTGGCAATGGTCACAGGTGAAAAAACTTGATTCCCGGATATGACCAATGACAGAAACGGATACTTTTGCGAGACAGTTGGTGACAAAATTGCGAACATGGAAAAAATTTACACCGGACCAGTCCATAGAACAACAGATCACCCCAGTTAGACGAAACTGAAAGCTTAGTGTTGGCCTGCACTCGCTAACTTTTGCAGCGTAAGCTTGTGCAGAGCGCATGTAGAAACGTTGGCGTTCCGTTGTGTGAGCCAGTTGAGGCATAAGATATTGCCAAACGTGGTAGCTTTAATAAGGATAGTTTTAGCAGATGATAGAAACATACTGCAAGTTACACTTAATCGGCGCTGGCGTCACAGATCAGTGGTGACACAGTGCTTTTCCAATGCCCCTCAGGTCAGTGTTTTCCACAGAATTTTTAGCCAAGGTTCACGTTAAATACCAAACAGTACAAAATACCAAATAAGTGGGCTAAACTAGCTGCAAGAATCGCGGCTGGCCACCGCATCCTGCGACAGACCTAATCAGTATGCTACGCCGCGTTTTAAAGTGCGTGAGTTTTGAGACAGATGGTCTCGAATGCTTGCCACGCGGCGATGAATTGGTTTCAGTGTAAGGCTGCGTGGTGCTGTTGGTTCTTTTCATATGGTAAGAAGCTGATTGACTAGAAGAACATAGTCCATTGTCGGTTTTTTAAGGTGCTGCGCCGGCTTTTCTAAGGATTCACCATAGAGAGTGTCCCTAGTAAAAGCGTTAAAAAGCCGTGCCGATCTTGGACGTTTGTTGTTGGTGGATACGCGAACTGTAGTTTCGGAGGTTAACAGAGGACTAATTGGAATCATGTTCAGAAGTGCGAGCCCTGCACCGGTAATACCAGTGATTACGCGAAGATCGTGAAGATACCCAAAGCTTCCAGCTGATTGTACAATGACATCACAAAACCAAACGTGATATTGTTTTCGGGTGCTTGCAGAACCATGCCATCGGCAAGTGCAGGGCTACAGGGATGCGGCTTTGCAAAATACGCAGGGGTAAGGGGGTGAGGCACAGAACAAAATGACTGAGCCTGCCTCCGAAAAACACTTAAAATAGTTTCCCCCCCAGATTTGACGAACCTTCTCTTCCGAGTTGGAAGCAGGGGCGTAGTTTCTCAGAGTAAGGTTTGTGGGGCTGAACCCTCAAGATGGTGATTAATGAAAGGGGTTGAAAAATAAATATAACTAAAAATGCGAAAATGCATCCACGATTAGGAGGCACAGTCAACCTCCCCCCCCCCCCCCCCCACTCCCCCCGCTGAATAGGAAACTACACGCCTATATGCCGGTTGTGTTGATATGTATACCTTTATGTAATAATTCTACTAGTTTAATCACAACAACCATTCAATTTTTGATGACAAGCAAATGATACTTTGGTGCAGATGAGCTCCCGACACAAAAATGTTTGATGGTTACCCCGCACCACATTTCATCTGACCTTTTTTATTGTTAATTGCTTTAAGAAATATATTGCAACAGTTTCTGATACATTTGGCCTGAGTTGATAATCTAGCCGGCTCCAAATTTCGTCGGTGAGAAAATGCACTTTTTCATCCGTGGCATTCGTATCTAGTACGAGTGACACTGACAACACCGTCAGAGCAGTGACGATCGACACGCCCGTAGAATAACTTTGGACGCGCGGTATGCGAGTTGCAACATCCGAACAATGCGGTCATACAGACATGGTAACATATTGCTATCAAAAATTTTAAGCATGCATCGAACGCGTATCAAGTGTTGCGAGGCGTCTTTGGTTTGCCGTGTGCTTGTATGAAAGCGCTCGGCATCGACGCATTTCCGGCCGGCCTGGTGTTGTGTTAATGCTAATCACTTGTGTTCGGTACCCCCTTCCAAAAATGCATGATTAGAAGCCGGACGACTACAGTCCAGACGGTGCCGGCGTCATGATCTTGAAGGCTTCTCAAACCTCGATATATCGAACTAGGCGCTAATTATTTGCCAGATGCAGTGTTGCTGTAACCTTAACGCAGATTGCTTGCATTCGGAGTTGTTGGGTTCGCGCAGAGGCAGGACTGTCAGACATTGAACCTGGCTGATCTCGTGTGGGGCGGGGGAACGCCTGTGCGGCTGCGTTGCGTTCATCCTATTATGAGTGTGGGAGGTGTACGTGACTATTCTCGGGAAGGTTTGCTAATCAAAAACATCTGGAAACGGTGTGGGCAAGCTGTCGGCAACGGTGTGGGCAGACATTGCAGTTTATGGGCGTATCGTCACATTCTTTACGCGCCCAGGTGGCTGGTTTAATGCGAAGCACTCGGGTGTGTGCGTGAGACGGGAAATAACTTGACCGCGTGAGGTCTCAAAAACTAAGAGAGATAAAACTCTAAACCCATAGCGTAGATAGAGCTCCACGTGAACGCATCTGTGTCAAATTTTGAGGTCCCTAGGTCGTGACCTTTGAGTCATATAAGTTCAAACAAGATCAAGCTGCAGATTGGTGTCAGAAGCTCCATTTGTCTGCTTCACACCATCAGTCTTAACCTGCGCCCGGCCGGGGATCCGAGACAACTGCGCATGGCCGGGGATCCGAGACAACTGCGCCCGGCCGGGGATCCGAGACAACTGCGCATGGCCGGGATCTGAGACAACTGCGCCCGGCCGGGGATCCGAGACAACTGCGCGTGGCCGGGATCTGAGACAACTGTGCCCGGTCGGGGGTCTGAGACCGCCGCGCCTGGCCGGGATCTGAGACAGTTGAGGCCGGTCGGGGCTCTGAGACCGCCGCGCCTGGCCGGGATCTGAGACAGTTGAGGCCGGTCGGGGCTCTGAGACCGCCGCGCCTGGCTGGACTCTGAGACAACTGCGGCCGATCGGGGATCTGGGACCGCTGCGCCTGGCCGGGATCTGAGATAACCGCGCACGGCCGCGAGGAAGTTGACTTCCTGGGATCTCCAACTCCTAAACGCTGTGCAAGAAAAGAAAGATACCGTTGTGAAGGTCTTGTCGAACCATGAAGAATGCGCACTTAACTTATGACCCTAAATCAAATAAGAGGGCACCAAACGTGAGGAAAGCTCAAAAAGGTCGTTCTGACAGATGCAGTTAATACTTATGTTAACGCATCAAGATGAATATTGAGGTCACGGAAATCAGCGTGAAGATTGTGGGGAAAATTCCGACCATTGCTCTTCCCCCATAAGGGCCAGGTCAAAGGAAAATGTTTAAAAATGGTCTACCAGTAACCTACAAAAAGATACTTTTTTACAAGATGATTCTGAGTCTTACGAGTCCGTCTGGATTTACTGAGCCTTCTGACTAAAACTGAGTTTAGTGTGTAGCTCTGGGACAAAGGTATTTCGGACAGGGGAATATCATTGTTGTCTGACTTAGAGATCATCAAAGGTCAGTATAGGTCAATGATATAAAACATCCAACTAAAAAATTGAAGTGCTTACCAGGTCTGCGTGACCAACATAATGTTTTTCTGTGGTCAAAAATAGTGTGCTGTACATCCACAAATACTCAAGATCGCACAGCTGTTGGCTACATTTTACACAGTCCCTTTGATCTTTGGCAATGTATTTGTAATAAACTGGCAATAGGCACGTTGGTATATGAAATTCTACCTCATCAGCTTCACTGAAACCATAGGGAGGTGGCAACATACGTCGCATTCATTCATCTAGTCTTTCCGCTATTGACAGCACAGGTAATTCGCCTTGGGTGACCTGATATGACTTCACATGTCCGCATGTGATTTACGGTGAACTCATTATACATTAGAATGCTACCACAACATGTTTTCATTAGTGTGTTTGAATTCTGTGAGCAAAAATGTGTAATAAACTGCCTAATTTCAGTTCATCATGCGTTTTGCAGAAGACACCCATACATCTAGGTCACAGCCTGTGCCAAGGTCATGTGCTCTGTGGTCATATGATGGTTGTGCATGTGAGTTAATACTCTTTTCCTGACATAAAATACCGAAACTACACAAAAGCAGTACATATTTGCATTATTTACGAAAAATAGCGAAAATTTATATGACTTCAAGCCACTGATCCCGCCTGTTTTAAGAAATCCAAAATGTACAAACTTTAGGAACTGTCATTTTCTATCACTAAAACTAGTTTGAAATATGGTAAATGACCAACAAAAAAATCTGTGTAGTCAAATATTGTCACGGGTTGACTTCATTGGCCTGACATTGGTTACTGACCTTAGCAGATAAAGACATCAAATTTGCACTAACGATGCCGACTTGATTGATCAACAGGTATTGCAAATCCGTATGCAACGTTTAGAAAAGGTGAGAACACCATTTTGTTTTGTCTCCATAGACTACGTTAAGAGCATTTCCATGGTTGTAAAGCTAGCTCAAGTTCTTGATGGATATGCGTTCGTTTACCTTTTCCTTCGATACCATGCAATAATGCCTGTCTCTGGGCCCCCTGTGCGATGGGCATTGCTGCTCTAAAGATCGCACCACTCACCAAAACAAGTACAATTCTTTACCAAACCAATTTCATGGGAACCATTAATGGCATATCGTGGACATTTTTTGTTGTCAACTGGTAAATAAACGCTGAATATACGCATCACCTGGGACGACTGTGCAATCATTTATGCACAGGAATCCTGACTGATTAATGTCTTGCTGTCTTTATTATTTGGAGCATGTACAGAAAGGGTGTTACCGCTCATTTGGCACCTCTTAATACCTTCAGAACTGCTTGTCTGATAATCAAAAACCAAACTGAGTACGATCCCTCACAACACAAACTGTCTTAAAAGATGAAGTCTGGAACATATTTGAAAGGGACAGCGGGACCAATAAACACAAATTATTAGTATCTTTGAT